AATATCAGACACCTCTTCCTACATTTCGGAAAAGCAATAAAATAGGAAAACTATCGTTAATTGAAGCAACGTCTGCATTATGACGTTATATTTCTGATTATCCATCAAAATGAAATAGTATAGTTCGATACGAGTGTGGAGTTGGCGGCCAATCACATGAGGAGAAAATTCCCGCCTCACATTTGTCAAAAAATATTTTTTGATAGTGACGTTGCGGTTAGCGACTGCCGAGCTGTGCATTTTTTCGTTTACAAGTAAACAAAATAGTATTTTTCGACACAGTGACGAAGCATATTTTATGATACAAGTGAAAGAAAGGGCAGTTTTTGCGCGCTTTGCGCGAAAATAATTGCATTTTTCTCACCAGTCTCATAGAATATCGTACGATAAAAAGGAAAACATGTGTTTCCTGACGAGTGTGATTACAGATCTCGCCGTCGGCTCGGCTTCTAACACTCACACTCGTTAATAACTACTTTTTTTCACTTGTATCGTAATATATACTATTTCCGCTCACGAAACAGGACGTTCTACTGAATTTTAATCCCATAACTTTCCAGGATTTATTAACATACGGAACGCAATTGAAAAATATCTGTCGAATTTATCATTCATGCACCAAATTCAATTTGTAAATTCCCAGGTTCCCTCCTTGGTGCGTGTGGTTGTATTGCGCTGGTGTCAACTCCGTAACAAAAAGGGATAAGAGATAATAATGTGAAATGCGAGAGTGTGCATACGAACCCATTGCTATGCGCGCAATTTTTTAAATTTTGATTCGAACGAAAAACAAGTGGGAAATTGCCGATATATAGCATATAGTGTAGCTTGTTTTGCTAAGAAATTAGCAATATGCTTCCGAATGGTCATGTTGCATTTTTTTTCTTCCGTATATGATTTATATTTTACTTTATTTCATTAAATTGAATAAGTTTCTTTTCAATCAATTGTGTCAAATTTTCTCTTCAGTTGAATTTTATAATTATTAGTATTCTTATTATTATTTTCTCTTATAGAACTTTTTATTTATTTTTTTTTTTTATTATTCTTTCATCACTCTCATTGTTCTTTTGTAGCATTCATTTTAAAAGCTACATTTCATGTTTTCATTTCGCTGTTATATTATTATTGAATCGTTTTCTAGCTATTACAATTGGCTTCTTTCTAAGCTCTGTATTTAACAGGTTTGTGGTTTCCATAAGCCATGTGTAGGTTATGGCTGTCGATTATTATGAATATAGTTAAATGCATTATAATAATCGCAGTTTGATCAATAATACGAAACAAGAATGATTCACTCTTGGAGTGATTGTTTTTTCATGTTCCTTCGTTCTTTTTTTTTCTATTGAACATTCTGCGTGTAGTTCATTATATTGACAATTCGCTTGTGATTTTCAAATAATCAACGAAGTTTATTTTCCATAATCATGGAAAGGCAACAAACTTTCGAATACCATAAGCGATTCCTGAAATTCTTGTATAAATCAAATGAAAGAATGATACTATTTATATCATAACAAAATTTCAACAGAATATCATTGAAAAAAATGTATTTATTCAGAATTGATTGAGTTTGAAATATCACATTTGAAAAAATCATGAAAAAACTAATTTTCGGGGAAACTGATGAAAAATTTGATATTTCTGAAAATTATCATAAAAAAATTAAATCAACGGAGGCAGTTATCGTAATCATCGTTCAACTTCCACTTAAGGGCATTAATACAAACATTTCAAGCCATGATACAATTCATTCGAAGCCAGGAATCCAAAGATATCTGCGGAATTCTGATTTTCACAAAAAAAAAATTTTTGCAAATTTTCACAAAAATCACAGTAACGATTACTGCTATTGTCTTCATCTTCGAACTCGGTCGAATGGGCATCTCAACAAATTTTTTAAGCCGTTATTTAATGAATTTGAAATATTTTTTTTTAGTTATCGTGAAAAAATCGATTTTTGAAAACATTCGAAAATTTAAAAAATACGTTAATGAATTGAATTTCAATTAATGGCAGTAGATAGAACTCAGTAGATAGACCTACCTCAGTAGATAGACCTACATTTGAGAAAAAAAAGATTGAATTCCATTATTGAACTGGCGAATAATTGAAGAAAAAGTTTGTTACATACGTACGTACATACGTACATACGTACGGACGCGGTCTAACAATTGCATTTTCGGACTTTTTGGATCATAATGGGTTGATATAACACAAAAAATCGAAAACTTAAATTTGGTCGATTACAATGCTATTCGATTTTCCATTCGGAAGCAAAAATAGCTACATCAATGAGAAACTTATGGCTGATTTATATAATGTAATTAAGAGTATTTTTCATGTAGATTGTCATGTTTGCGTTTTATTTAATGGATATGATTCGGAGGTAGTGGAGGGGGTAGTTGCTTCGTGTATAGATACACAGCAGCGTTTAGTCAATTTTGTACTGTCAGAGTGAAACTTTTTCCTTGGCCGATACGCTACCGACCGGGTATCTCGATTTGAAATGAGAATCTCCATCCATATTCTCCGGTTGATTCTGTCAGACGGGACGAGTGGGACAGATTCATTGAATAAATACAAACAAACAATTGAAATATACCAAAAAATTTATTTACATAAAAACATGAATATAATACCTATTTCAATTGCTGCGCATTTTATCATCAGATGTACCCGAACAACGTTGGCCCACAGAGACGAACTGAACCAATAAAAAGTAAAAATAAAAATATAAGAAATATTGTCACGATTCTAAATTCGAATAGCCATTGGATCAACTGAGATAATAAACCCTTACGAATCTATTACAAGTCTACCAAAGTAATCGGATGAAAATCGATCATAGGTCGAAGCCGTACACTTTGTACGGGAGTTAAAATGAAAGCGCACAAGGAGATATATCAAATTGTTCACTCGAAAGAGTCGATTCAATTCACGGTTGGCATATCCACTTTTCAAATGTTGACTGATTATATTCTTCCCTCTCAATTAAATTTATTGATTCTTGCTTGTTCTTTTCGTTTCAATATCCATAAATAGTGTTTATATTAATCGCTCGAATATCTTCATATTAATTTTCTTTGTAGTACCATTCGTTACAATATTTACATAAACATACATACAACTTAAAGGATTATTGCTTTAGAGGTACAATATAATTAATAAAAATATGTTTTTCCTATTCAGTTACAATCCGATTAAAACTGCGACTGCCAATTGCACTAATTTTGTTTTTCCGAAATCATGGAAATTAAATTTGCAATCAAATTTTGACTTATAATTTCTTTAATGTCGATGCGAATTACATTCCAATCAGTTTCATTGAAAATTTTGTTACAACTCGCAGTTTCATTAGAAATCGAGAAAACAAATTCTCGGTAATTTTTTATAATTTCATTATCAGTAAGTATACTTCATTATTAATAAAGATGTTACCAATTGTACTAAAGAAAGATAGAATTAAATATTAAGTCCAACCGTGGCATTCTCATTAGTATCAGGAATTAATGGCGAGAGTATTACCTAATTGAAAAGCCTCGATTTCAAAGCCTCATCCGATAGGCGCAATGTTCACAAATAAAATTCAGCACAACATATTTCCATTTAGGTTTGAGTACACCATTAAATTGGAATACAAATTCTCATTCTCATTTCTCCATTTAGGATATAAAAATTCCCATTGTTTTGAAAATGCATATTAATTCTTCACAATAAGGCTCAAAAATTCATTGGTTCTTTGATTATCGTACGTTAATCTATTTTCCAATATTTTTTCTTTCTTTCTGTTTCTGAGATATGATTTCATATGCAAGATTTGACTTGTAGCTCGTTTCATTTGTGGAGATTTTTTCTTTCTAATTATCATCGAAAAAATACTATCTAAAAACGTAAATTTTTCGAAAGTTCATTATCTGTGGAACGAAAAATGCGCCTATGAGTATTTTTGAAAAACTCGAATGTATATTTTTTGGGCAAAAATATATTCACGTATATTGTTCTTCAATTTCGAAGTACTGAGAATCAGAAACGTAAATTCAATCGAAGTCATTTTACACTGGTAGCTTAACAACAATAAAGTCGTGTATATAATAAATGTATTATTAAAAAAAGATCCCTAAGTAACAATAGGGATTTCCAAAGAAACTTCATTCTTATTGGCTTTACGCGCCTACAATTTACACTGTATTAGTGTATATGATTATCAAAAAATGGCATTAACGAGATCTCAGTTATGAAAAAATGTGTCCGAAATTCGAAGTACAAAGAAGGGGATGAAATTAAACAGAAACACAAAGAATCTATTAGATCACACATTGAGGTTCCACCTATTATGTATAATAATCGCATTTATTTCTCACGAGCAATGAGTTACTCGTTTTCATCGATATACCTATACATGTACTATTATTCATGTTAATAAATGCTCAACATATATATGTATATAGTCGTTAAAAATCAATATACATATACATGCAAATTTTATATACTTCAAAAATTGATTTTACGATTCAAATTGTTCACAGTGTAAATGTTTCGTATATAAAGCACCTTGATTACGAATAGATGGTAGAACAGAATCTATGAATTTTGTAATGCATTAAAAATATGGAAAAGTAGCAGGCCCGATAGTTTTATCATAATTATACTCATTTGCTTTCGCGTTATAAATTCGATTATATTATTTTGTATTCGTCTAAATATACGAGGGTATAGACAATAATACACAAAGGAATTTTCTGTCAAAACAACGAACATTCTATTGCATTTCTATTGAGACACTTCGTGTAGGAATTCTTCGATATGAATTTTTCTATATTTTCTCAATTTGTTTTGATAAGAAAAATCAAGCGAAAAAACCTTGAAAAATTTGAATCAATGGAATTCTATAGAAAACATCTCAATGGAATAAGTTTTATAAAACAAATTGAATTCTATTTTTTCTGTCGAATAATTTCCATTGAGTATTTCTATTGAAAAAAAAGCACGCAGATAAGTTGTGGAATTTTTAAATAATTGAAAGATCAATAGAAGCCAAATTGAATTTTCCAGCAAATTCGCTAGGTTTTTCACCGAAATGCTTTTGTCCGTGTTATTTTGCGACCAGAAATGCAATAAAATGATCATTTCTCTGCAATTTCCAGCTGTGTATTCTACCGTGACACGCACGTGCGCAAAAACCCAATTGACACGGCCAAATAATTCCTTACATAATCTGGCATTATCCAAGCTGGCTTGTTTAATATCACATCTTCATAATGTGCGGCAGTGTCTCCCTCCCCTACATCAACAAAACAACATCACCCCCGACTTTCCTACAAAATTCGATTAGCAAACTGCGAGTGTAATTTGGAATTCAGCCAGCATTCAAGATAAACCCCTCACTCAACATTCTCAAAAAGCGTCGAGAGAATGAATGAATAATCAACAGATAGACTCTGGTCACTGTTTCCACCAGCCGCAGAAGCACGAGTACCATCGCCTCTCGCTGTGAGGCTGAATTATCTGCTATTGTCAGTGCATCGCACGTGTAGTCAAATGAGTTGTCTCCGCTCTCTTTGGTGGTGGAGGGGGTGGTCTTCGTTTGCAGGCAATGACATTGGCGATATTCATACTGCGATTCTCATCGGCAAATCGCACTGACGGCTGTCTCGATGGGCTTGATGCGTATTCAACTGGTGCATTGGGATCGCTCGTGTAGACATTTTCGTAGAGATTGTCCGCACCGTAGTGCTCCTGCACCCAATTGGACACATTAGTCTCCCTGTAATCAGCAATGGCAGGTGGTGGATCCCTGAAGCCTAGGACTTCGTGTGGAGTTGTGGTCGAATCCAACTTGCACTTCTGTGCAACCTGCCACTTTTTCCTCATGACTCGCTGTAGATCTTTGAGGAAATCGCCAGGAGGTGCTTGATCAGAGGCTGCGAGTTTCTTCGGTGAAGTCAGCCTGGTGCTGTCTGCTCTTGTTGGAGGCATTGGCATCGGTTTCCTCTGCGGCAGCGCTGGACTCCCAGGCTCCTGCTGAGGTGGAAGATTGAACGAGATCTTCTTGCCAGTGCCTGTCTTCGACTTTGGCGAGGTCGGGGGCTCCTGGATTGTCACTCGCCTCTGCGGCTGAGGACTCGATGACGCTTTTAACTCGGCCAAGTACGGGGGCGACGCATAGTGACTCGAATTCTGCTTCAGTGCACTCCTCCTCACAGTGTCCATATTCGGATTGGGCCTGATTGCCTGATTCTGGGCGGCCGGGTATGTTCCATAATTCTGCTCGTTCTTGGAATTTTGCCTCTGGAGACTGTGTGCCTGAGAGCCGTAGGCTGGTGGCGGTATGAAGGGCGGTGGGGATACAAAGTTTGGAGTACTTGGCGAGAATGTTGGGGTACTAGCGTTGGAATCTGGGTAAGAATTGTGTGGTGATGAGTACCCATTATTCACGGAATTACCATTTTGAGTGGTGCATACTAGATTATTACGAGTGGGTGTGTGAGTCGGTGTGCCCTCTGGGGACATTGAATTTGTTGGAGTTGACTGTTTGGGCCTGGCACGTCTTATTGTACCAGTTTCACCGACTAGGGGGCTAGGGGGTGGTGGTAATGACATCAGGGAGAGGGATGATCCAGACAATTCGGAATTTTCACACATTGGAATTTCGCCTGGGGCGGGAGGAGGTGGAAGAGAGTCTAGGGATAAATTGGACCTGAACATCTCGGGGGGCGGCGGGGGGAGGGGCTCGCCGTCAGACTCGATCTCCTCGACCACTCGGGAGGGGGAGAGAGGGGGTGGTAATGAAGTTATGGAGTCCATCATGCAGGAGGGAATTGGACTGGTGGGTGTTTTCGGGTCTGAGTCACTCCTGGTGTAGCCCATTGGACTGATTCTCTCTCTGACGGGGGTGCCAGGGGGCACTGGACTCACTGGGGTGCCATTGCCAGACCTGTGGTGTCGCTTGAGGGTACCTGAACCGTCGGAGTCGGTTCCACTTCTTCTTCGACTGTGCCTTCGCGTCAGAGTTCCTGAGCCTGAGGACGTGGGGCTGGGACAACTGTCGGGCTCATCGCGGACTGTTTCGCCGACCTCTTTCAGCTGTCTTGTGATGGACGTCAGGGGGAGTTTTGGGTTCATCGAGGGCTTTCGCTTGATCGTGCCCGTTGGAAACTCTCCGCACTCGAAGGCGACTTCACAGCTGCTTGGGGCACCGTCTGAGAGACAACCGCTGGAGCTCGAGGAACTCGCTCGACTCAGTCTTCCATCAGTGTAACTTTGTCGCTGCTCGGAATTGTAACTCTGTCGCTGATTCTCGTATTGTCGTCCGTTTTCAGTTCCATTGTGTCGCATTTCTGTGAACTGTCTCGCGTTTTCGGTGGTCGTGTTGTACTGGGTTTGACTCGGTGGAACAGCGATAGAACTTACGGAGCAGGAACGGGCGTGGGCTAGGAGGTCGAGATCCTCTTGCGCTAATTCGTCGACGAGGGTTCGGTAGTTCTCCATTATTTGGCGGCCGTATTTCGCCACGCGAATGCCCACCATCCATCGCTCCAGGGAAGAAGTATCCTCCGCGCAGAGGAATTTAATGTACTTGGTGGATTTCGGTTGCTGGAGGCGGGGGTGCTTTATGGCGAAACAAAAGTCTGAGGGGGCTTTGTATTTTTTCTTCCAACCCACGCCGTAGTACACCTGGTTCACGTCGAAGGTGGCGAGACAAACGAGGTCACGGGCTGTTCTTGCTTTCTCCTTTGGCCAGTAGTAGAGGCCGGAAGCACGGAGAATGAAGTGGTACTTCTTCCAACCCTTCTTGCCGTCGGATTTTAGGTACAGTGGACCTTCAACCTGGAAGAGAATGGAAAAAATGTTTAGTTCAATTGTATCTTATAATTTTCAAAGAGGTGAGACATAGAACAAACCATCTCATTAGAATGAATAGTTTTAATTAATTCAACGATTCTATTGAGGCTTTGTATGAATTGTTACAAAATTTTCACTGAGACTTCCGATACATTTTCTGGAATTTTTAAATTTATTGTGGTCTTCTGAAGTTTCAATCCATTTAAAAAATCAATGGAAACTGTAATTTTCAGTTGAATGATCCCATAAAAATGAAGAAAAATCAGTCAAATTTTAAATGAAATGAAAATTTAAGCAAGTTAGGGAATTCTCTGAAATTCCATAATGTTTACCGCCTGATTTCAAATCAATGTCACTCTCCATGAAGTTACTAGTTAGCTGTAGATGAAATTTCATTTTTTTTCTAACAATGTAACTCGAAAAATACAATGATAGTCAATGATAGGTATGTAATTCAGTAATAGAACAACATCCATCTGTCATTGGTGAAGTATATCAAACAAATCGAGAATAAGCCCCCAGATTCGAAAATAATCGATAAAATGACGATGTGTAACTTTTTAGAAAAAAAGTTTTTTGGATGAATTGCTATTTACCAGAATGTACTGAATCGATCGACACAAATTTTTATACACAAGTGGGAATTAATAATACTAATTAGTAGCCGGAATCTGAAATGTTGTTTCGATTTTTCTGTTGGAATTTTTCTCTTGAGATTTTTTCTATTAAAATTATTGGGCACGGATTTTCTAAGTTTTTTCCGCTCTATTTTGTTTTATTTTGCATTACAGGATCCGAGTGAAAAAAACTTGCTCAAGTACTTCCATAGAAAAAATTCCAAAAGAATATTCACAGAGAAAAATCGAAAACTATTGACTTTTTTCTATCAAATATCTCACAGAATCAATGCAAAGAACTTATACAATTTTAACGAGAAATTTTTTCACACGCGGATTTTCTCTAAGAATCATTTGAGCAACGGATTGTTTCACAAGATGAGATTTCTTCCAAATGTTCCCTGGAATTTCTTCAATTTCTTACATCTTCACCCCCTCAAAAAAGAAAATGTTTCCGGAGCAAGTGGAGTAATCATCATATTTTATTAAATTGCACATCCAAAATATCAGCCGTCAACTTTTGACATTCAACTGCGGTTGCCAACTCGTTGGTTAAAATCCTTTTTGGCAAATGGCCCGAATAATTCTCACGTAAGGCAGGAGCTGTACGTTTTCACTGTAGTTACCTCGGGTACTCCAACGTTACTGCTGGAGAAGAATTCCTCGAGTAATATGTTCCTAGAATGATCGTCGTACTCCCCTGTGTTTCTATCTGATTGACCAAGGAGATATCTTTCCGGGGAGAGAAAGAGTTGGGTTCTGTCTGGACGCTCGACGAATAGAAGTTTGTTCTTTGAGTCTCTAGTCCACAACAGGAGGTTTTCTACCAGAAGCTCGTGATCCTCGTATACTCTCTCTAATGAGCAGAAGTGACAATGGAAAGATAAGAAAAACATCGGATGGGGAAAACTTTTGCCGTTATTGGTCTTGGTAATTTTACACACTTGAACGAATCAGTTTTGAGAAAGTTTTGAGAAAAATGCTGAGAAGAAATAATGCTATAAATTTTAGAAGGTTAACTCTGAAAATATCTCCGAAGAGAATAGCTAGAATAAAATTTTCCACTTAAGAGTATCCAAGTACTTTGGCAATTTTTTTCTCCATTGAAATGCTTTTTTACTTTTGTAGTCGAACATCAGAGCATTCATTTGAGCCCCATTTGACCCTAAGTTTCCGGACACTTTACAATGATTTTATTATTTAAACTTTGTTGGTCTGAATTTGAATCTCAACACTAAACCATTAGAAAACAGTTTTAAAAACTAATAAAAAATTAGAAAGTTGACTTTTGGAGAAAGATGGATGAAATAATTAAAAAATTGCAATTTTTGAAAATTACGAACATTTTATATTAATAATTTATCAACAATCGATTTTCGATCATAAAAATCATTTGTTCGGAATCGTAACAAATTGATTCATGTTCAGAATTTTATCAGAAATCGAGTTGATGCCTAAAAAAATTAGATTTTCGAAAGTTTAAACAATTTCTATTATTTATTTATGAACAACAAATAATAGAAAAATTATAATTCTGTGCAAAATGTAATTTGAATGAGGAAGGATAGGCATGATTTTTTTCAAATTTTTCTCACGCAATTTAATTGACAAATTTGATAATTGAAAATGGTCAAGTCTAAATAGTGCACTCTATACCAAACTGTAAAAGATCCTTGGATATCCTTAAACAGTTCCTTTCTGGAATCTTTTAAATGATTTCTTCGAAAGAGAAATAACATTAACCTACATTATGTTCATCGGTATCAAAAATTTATGACATACCCATAAAAAGCTCTGGCAAATTCTCAACCACAGCCCACTTAGGATCCATGGCAACATGATTTTTGTCAGCCAACAATCGGCAGACGTGTGCAACACTCATGCCCTCGTCAACCAACAAACTCTTCCCACTTCCGTCCAATGTGAATGCCTTAATGAAGAGCTTTTGAACACTCGCCTCGCGCATCTTCTCCAAAGCAAGACGAATTTTCTCAGCCTTAGCTCGACCCGCAGCATCTGCAAGCATTACAGAATAGTGCATAAGTCACTGGTGACATCGTTAACGCCATAATGAATGTGATTATGAGCATTGAAATGCAAATTTACCCATGAGTTGATGTGTCTGCTGCTGAGGGGCCGTGTGCATGGCGGCCTGAGGCGGCTTGTGTCCTGATCCACTGCTGCTTGCTGAACTTTCGCTTGACAGCATTGATACAGTGTCGGAGAAGGCGCTGTCATTGTCAGGACTGTCTGTTCGCATTCCTGATGGAAATTGGTTAAATTGACTCTTAATTGAGTGCATATGGTGCTGCATGTTTGATGAATTTAAATAGACAATTCTATCGGTTAATAATACTAGGGATTACTGTTAAAAAATTATTTTTGATATTTGATGTAAAGAATTGTTACATTTTTAACAACAGTTTAATTCTGGAGTCTTTCACGGAATTCCAATTTAAAGATCTGGATGAAACGGAAAATTATAAAAATTGAGAAAATTCAGGCACAGATTGCCCTGCATTCGGTCTAAAAAAAATTTGTTGAATCAAGTATTTTCCTACTTGATTGAATTCGAACTCTACTTGAATCAAATTGCCAACGGACTTGATATTTTTTGAGTCGAGATACTTGATCCAAATTGATGAAATCTATTTAAAATGAATACATTCTCGACTTGACTGAATAAATTTTTTCACCACAATGTGGCGGAAATTGGACTTTTAGGCACGCGGAGCGTGAAATATTGTTCGTAACTCGTGAAAAAATGTTTTTTAGCTCGTGGGATTATATCACTCGCCTTCGGCTCGTGATATAAACCTCTCACTCGCCAAAAAACACGTTTTTGCACTCGTTACGAAATATACTATTTTGTGCTCTCAATCTATTGAAAATTTACTTGAATGTAACGTTCAATTTTCACCATGAATTTGAGAATTCAAACCATTATTGGAATATCAGTGACGAATTAACATGAACAATTTAATTTCATCAAGTTTCTCAGAAGAATGAGAAATTCCGTACACGATTAGATCTGAAATGTAACGAAAATTCACAACATTGAAAACTTAATACCACCTGTTGTCAAGTTTTCAATGTCAACTCCATTGACAATTATTAACATTTAGAATTATTCCAAATTATTTTACATAAGAAAATTTCAAATAAAAAAAAAATCCAAAATAATGAAGGGTTAATTCAAGGTCATATGTAGCCTAATCATCTCATAATTCAACATAATTGTAATATTTGGAGACGGACATGTTCCATCTGGAAATGACTGGTCTGGAGAAATATGTTCGTAAAAAAATAAGTTCTCCCAAGAAAATAACTCCTTGACAAAAGAAATTTTTTTTCTCAGTGAAATTTTCTCCACACGGAGAAAAAAGTTGAAGAAACATTATTAGATCTCAGGACGAAATGATGAAAAGTCTTCATTGCAGTTAATAAAACCGCAAATACATGTCTCGACCGATCTTATTGCATTAATTGCCCAGTATTTCTAGCTAAATCATTGAAATACTATTATCTTTGTGGTAAATCTTGTCATGCGAATACTTGAAAAAATATAAAACTCACCACCATCATTTTTTCCAATATCTGTGTTGTCCCCAGCGTTGATTCTTCCGCTGTTAGGTCTTCCAGGTCGCTGAGCGTCTGGCGCCGGTGTCGAGGCAATGTCTCCGTCGCATCGTCTCTCGAGTGCGCATAACTCCCCAAGAATTGCATCCAGGTCAACATCTTGTGAATCTGCAATGATAAATTAGAAAATTCCTTTAATTATTTGCTTCAATGGATCAATTGAGGTACTCAGTACACACGCGAGAGTAAATTCAAACGGTTGATTAATCGTTAATCGATGAGACCCATGTGATTTTACGCAAAGCAATGGGAACCAGTTCTACACTAATTGCCTGAACATTTCTCTGATGTTTGCCATCGACTACCGAGCGCGAGAGTATGCGTCCAGGATCATTATCCGAGAAAAGCCACGGGAGTGCAACCGGGTAACCGACCTTGGACAAAACTTTCGCTCTCGTCGGTATTTAATGACAGTTGAAATGAAATAATTTGTGTGGTAATGTCGGACGTAGATATTTGAGGGAAGTTTTGTATGAAGAGGAAATTCTGTTGTGATGAGATTTATATGATTGATGGTGATAAACATTTAGCCTGTTGGAAGATAGCAAAATGATGGAGTATTTTTCACATTGATTTAATTCTGTATCATGAATAATCGGACACAGCTAATTCCGCAGATGTATGTGCAACCAGTTTGTGTTGAAGAAAAAAGTCGAGCGACTTTTTTCGCACTGCTTGAAATTCTCTATAAGAAATGTCTTCGAATACATTCCTCTAAACCCGTTCTTTAAGGAGATATTTGCACTGATAGAACATTTCACCTCAAATTTCGAGTAAAATCTCTTGGAATATTCAACGATTAATTAACAGGGAGGTTAATTTACAGGGAGGTTGTAAATTTTGTTATTGAAAAAAATATTTTTTCTGTAAAATTTAATAAATCAATATATTTGCTCATTTTTTTGGGATTAATTTCAGTAGCGAAGTGGTAAAACGGTACAAGTCAATTTTGATTATTGGCCACTTTTGAATGACTATTTCGGAATCTAAGGAAGATAGCAAAATTTTTGTTATGACCTTTTTTGTAGAGCCGACTGAGAGCTACAGCAAATGTAATTGCGAAAATTTCGCTATCTCTCTTAGATTCGGAAATATTCTTCAAAAACTCAACTGGGAAATAAGTCGACTTGAACCGTTTTGCCACTTCACTACTGATTTGATAATTCAATTTTCCATTGGCATCTCCAGATTTGTTGCATGTGAAAAGGCTCTATTTTCTGGAATTATCATAATAAATCAGAAATTTGATGAACAATTTTTCCTCAGATTTTAAGATTACTCTGTCGTACTAAAATTTAGTGAGCAAAAAATGTTGGAAATAAGTAAAATTTTTACTTACTCTAAGCTCTGTTCAAAGAAGGAAACAAATAAATTCGAAGTCTCAGTAATTTTTACATTTTTTTACGGCCTTCGAGTCCTTTTTCGGTCCCATTCGGCGCTCTGTTGATCATACACTGTACCCCATTCGTACTCCTACAGAACACAGGAGTAGCATGGGAAATCACAGGAAACCCATGCCGATACAGGCGGTTACTCTATTAGCAACCTCCCGTTCGTCGGAACCGCATGTTGAAAAATTCGGTTCCATTTGGGATCGAACTCGCAACCTTTCGCACACTAAACTTGCGCCTCACTGACTCGGCCACCGCGTCGGTAGTAATTTTTAGCTAAATTTACATTTTTTCTCACTTTAGAAAGAACTTAGTTCCTAAATTCAATACATTCGGATTGTAAAATGGACGATTTTTCCACTTTCAAATATTCAAAAATGACAAAGATAAGTATCAGAAATATTTTTCCTGTTTTTATTGAATTGATGCTGAATGTATCTTCGATTGTTTTTTCAATTTTATCCCTTTCGAATGTTCTGAGTTCAAGAAGGTTCTTGATTTAGGGGAGAATTGGGCAAAATGGACTTTTTCAAATTTTGTTTCAGTCCCCATAACTCAGAAACAAATTGATCAGTTCAGTTTAGTGTAGGCTCTTCACAAAGGGAAAGGATTGTACTTTCCAAAGGAAAAAAAATTATCTCATTTCATCAAAATTTCAATGAGTTAACACCAACAAGTTATTTTTGTTTTATTATTCATTTCTTTCCTACTACCGTTACGGTTGTATAGGCTCCTCTTTTTCGTCTTTTTCTTCTTCATGTAAAAAACGAACAACTTCTCAAACAAGTCTTGTTGGCCCAACAAAATCTTTAGTTGAAAATTACCAAAAACATAATTGTTTGGTTCCAATTTGAAAGTGTCAAACATGAATAATTGCTCTACTTTCAACAACGAAATATTTGGCTCAAAAGGATTATTCATACAAGACGGTGCCTTTTCAGGATAAAAATATTTTATCGAGGGAAGTTTATCAAGAAATATTTTGTCCCTAAATTATAAAATTGCTGTCATATCATTATTATAATTTCATTTAAGAATTCATTTTTCATGTGTGATTATTGAACCACCGAAACGACAAACTATCATCCCTCATTTCATATAAAACGAACATTTTCCGGGAGCCATATACAATACAAAATAAAGAAGTAGTGTTAGAAAGTACATTTCTTCCTTGGGCAGAGAATAAAATTTCTTTGAACAACTAAATCTATTTTTCCAGTAAAAAATTTCACAAAAAAATCCTTTTTTGATCATTTTTAACAAATAATTTTTTTGGAACAAGCAAGACTTGTCTGAGAACTCCGCTGTTATTCTCTCAGTGTAGGAATTCCTTTTCTCTGTGCTTCGCTAAAAATCACGAAGACAACTAAAAAACTATCATTAATTAGTAATAATCCACAGCCGATTTCCGTGATATCTCCGAGTATACATTCAAAATTAATTTCCGGCAGACTGAAACATACCATGACATGGCAATGGTGTTACCTTTTACGGGATACTGCTAATGGTTCTCACACGATCGATAAACGTCTCGCGTTACCCTATCATTTTATCCGGCTCCTCGTTAAATTCAACGGATAAGCCATGAAATGAATTTTATATTGAATAAATTCCACTCTTTCATATTTACATCACGAAACTCGGAATTAAAAGGTGAAGTGATATATCCTTTCGACTACATGATGATACACATACCGCGCGTAATTATTATGTAGCAGATAGGTGTAACGACGTAGGTGTACATGAGCAGCAGTCTCGTGCAACACGCCGCAAGGCTCGTTACGGTAATTAACAAAATTAACTGTACAAACGCGGCTGCTTGGCACCGCTTTGTGTCCAACGCTCATCAATTCTACTTGCTCTTGTTATCACGTAGATATTTTGCTGGTATGCCAGCATTCAAATTCACAATTGATGGTATTGAATTTATGGAATATGTATTCACATTTGCGTTCAGTCTGTGATGTTTGAATGAGAGGATGATTTCATTGATGTTTGTGAGCTTCGTCAGTGGGGAAATGAGAGAATGGAATATTGGGCTTTTGTGATAGGGATTATATTATTTTGGGGAGCGGAGGATGAATTGTTTCATCTCTTTGGAGATTATGGATTGAATTCTCTATGCTCGGGAAGGTTGTCGATGATTAAACTACCCGGATGAAAATGTGCACAAAAAAACAAGCTTTATTTCGAGGGTTATGATCTCAAATTTAGATTTTCAAGTATTTAAAATTGACAGTTTTGAAAAGTTTAAGTTGAGTTCCGAAAGTTTTAATTTGAGGCATTCGAAAGCATCAGCTTGAGTCTATGAAAGTATTAAAACTTTGCAACGTCTCAATCTGAGATTTTAGGAAGGCTTAAATTGATATCTTAAAGTCTCAAATTGAAAATTTCTAAACTCTTAACTTAAGACTTTTAGACTTCAAATTAAGACTTTTGAAAGTGTCATTTAAGTAGTGAATCGGTAAAACGGTTCAAGTCGATTTAGTCTTTAACTGAGTTTTCGAGAAATATCTGAATTTGAGGGAGATAACGAAATTTTTGTAAAAACCTTGTTAGAGATGAGGCTATGATGTGAGGGTGGATTGGGGGGAAGTGATCGAGCGAGGGTGAAAATCAAGAAATACGTACATTACTAAATACACTGGTGATGTAATTTATTTGTGGCGTAAGCCATGCCTCTTGAAATTTTAAGGTACACTGTTTGTTGAATGTCGCGAATTAATTGATGATTGTCTTTACAATTCACTGGATAATCTCTCGGTATTGAAATAGATAGAGAACTCAAAATTGATTAACACTGACTGGAAATTAACTAATATTAGAATTTAATATAGACGGTACAGTCAGCGCTAGACTCAATATATCTCACGCGGATATACTCGGTTGAGCAGTTACGACGATACTGTACTCAATAGGTAACTCTCTGACTAACAGATGTATACTCTTTGATAGATAGATTGATACTGAGAATTCATATTTGGCGATTTGCATCGTGATTTGCCCGTGAACTCGAAGGGTCCAGAACTCATTCGAGATTTTTCGTTGAGCTCGGTAACTTTTAATAGTGAAATATTTGCTGCGTTTCAAACAAACCTTCTTTGTAGAGCAAATTGAGGACTACGAAAGAGATCATAACAAAATTTTAGCTATCTCCCTTAGATTTCGAGATATTCATTGAAAACTGGTCAATACTCACAACCAACTTAAACCGTTTTACCGCTTCGCTGCTGATTTTAAGACCTTTGAAATCTTCAAATGAGAAATTAATTTTTTGGGTGTTTATGATGAAAATTTTTCTGAAGTTGTGGGTAAAAATTTTCGAACAAAATATAATCGTGCAACAGAATTGAAATATAATGACCAATTATCGCGAATTTTGAAGAATTCGGTGAAGCGAAAAACATTCTGAGATTTAGAAAATTTTTCCCTCAGTGTACATAGTAAAGAATCTCGAAAGCGTTTCAATGAATCTATCAAGAACCCCTGAGAGGATTCCTACTTTGCTTGAAAATCTCGCATTCAAGGTAACACCTGATGAAGACAAAAGCATCAGGAATATTGAATCAATTGTCTACCATCATAAATCCTGAACCGGAGATGAATTCTGCAGACTACCTTCAATGCCTTTGGTTCGAGAAAGGAAGGTACGACGGCTCCATCATTTCTGAAGAAAATTTATCACGAGATGGAAGGATTGAATTACACCCTTTTTGA